CCTTCACATAAGCAGAGATGTGTGTTGCCAGTTACTGTTGCAGAGAATAATTTTATACTAAATCTCATAATCACAGTAATCCCTAGAGAAGCAAAGGACAAAAAAATCAAGCAGCAGTGGCAAGAGTAGGATCTCAAGATCTCAACGAACTCAGTGTCAGCACTAATGCTGCAACAGCACAGAGCAATTCACGGCCTGGAAGGCTGGTGAGCTGTTGTTCTTCACTGGGCTCTGTGCTTTCACAGCCAGCTGAACTCATGTAGAGTTAGCCCAAATGTATCTACACAGCCTGCACTACAGATAAACCCCACAACATCAGAGAGCCTTGCTCACTGAGCAGTATGGCTGCCCTTCTGTTGCTTCAAACAGAAACGTGGATTATCTCAGTGGTTAAACTTTATCGAAACTTGAAACAAAAAAAATATTAAACAAGTTTCAATGTCAAGTGTCAGTTCCAACCCTTTAGGGATACATGTGGTGCAGAAACACCTTCCATAAAGCAATTCATAGCACTGCAGTCTCCAGAGAGGACTCACTTCTGCCAGTCTTGTGATACAGTGCAATCTGCAGCGAGTGTAGGATTAGGAATGGTATCTGAGGGAGAAAATGATCTCCCAAAAGGCAGGTGAAACCCTAACCCTTCCTTCTAATCATCCAGACTTTGTGACTCATTACCCTTGGGGTGAGAGGAAATCTCTGTCCGTATATCTTGGACAGAATTGAGTGCAGGGGGTGGAGCAGGGGGCACAGTGAGTGAAGTCTTAGGTGTCATGTGTTTCGCTGATCTAATGCAAAAATAGAAAGGAATCAAGGGAAAGAAACCCTGTGAAGACAAGCCAAGGGAAAAGAAAAAAAAAGAAGCAACACCAACACACAGTATCTTCTGCAGAATTTGAGGCAGACACAGTCCTCAGAGAAGCCAAATCTTCTGATTCCTGACTTGATTACTTTGGTACAGTAGGCAAATTCTAGCATGCAAAAAAAAAAAGTAAAAGGCTAACTCAAAACACTTGGTTCTAGAAATTAAAAACTGTGGCCTCAAACATATGTTAAATATATTTTAAATCAATTCTGTTTTCTTCTTGAGAAGGACAGGCACAGTCAGCACACCACCCAAGAGTTGTAGCACTCCACTTAAAGCATGGCAAAGGTGAAGCTGGATGGAGAACCAGCTCCTGGGGGCCTTGTTGGATAGCAGGGAGAAGAAAACATGTTACACCATTTTCCTCACTTTGCCATTAATGCAAATGCACATAAAGTCCCCTGTCTACCAACTGTTTAATATGTTCTCTAGGGCTATGTTTTTAGGCATAATAAAAAGACTAAACTGGACAAGACTCTGCAAGATGTGGTTCAGAGGACCATCCCATAGATAATCCAGAAGGTTGTTGGCAATGCAGAGGGTTGGAAGGTGTCATGGATAAAGACCCATTGCCCATTCTCAACCACTAGCAGAGAGCTGATCCTCTCCCAGGTACCATGGTGTGTAGCCAATCTGAGATATTCCCAGGAATGTTCTGCCAACTATGTAGTTAAATGGCTAATAGATATCAAAAACCCTAGACCTTACCAATAAACCCAGTGGATTCACTTCTTGCCTTTCATAGGTCCAGAACCCATCAGTTCTTTCACCAAGTAAAGTTGGCTGGTTCATCTCTGTGCAGACAGGAAATTGAGCTGTCAAAGGCTTCAAGAATACAGAGAGAAGCTGGAAAGTAGAGAGAAGTACTTCAGGTTCCAAAACAAATATTACAAGTTGAAAAAGCTATTCAAAATGCCCCTTTACCCATGAAGTAAGTTGGTTTTCAAGCAAACTAAAAGAAGAAAGGACTCACACAAAGCTCCTGTGGCCTTCTCATCCCTCACAAGCCCCCTAAGTGTGCAGGCTGACTGCTATGGAATCTAGAAGGAAGAAGTTTGTGGGAAGTTTTCCCTTCCTCTCTCTCCAGGCCTGAAGCTCACAGCGTCTGCCCTTGAAGTCTCAGCCCAAACACTTCATAGATAAGAGAATCATAGAATCATAGAATCATTTAGGTTGGAAAAGACCTCTAAGATCACCGAGTCCAGCTGTTAACCTAGAATTGCCAATTCCACCACTAAACCATGTTCCAGGATGGTGACTCTATCACTTCCCTGGGAGACCTGTTTCACTGCTTCATTTGCCAGTTCAGTTTCCTTTCTTGTACATATAGGAGAAAAGATTCTCATTAGGGCTGGATCTACATCTGATGAAAGTAATGCTGGAGATAGCCCTTTTGACATTCCTCTGCTGTGATGTCCTTGAGGTCCTCACCGGAACATGGCTCCTGAAGATATCTTTATCCTCAGGGCCAGCACAGTAACCTTGTGTATGGATGCAGGGTCTTGGCTCAACCCCTTGCAGACTGCATTCTGGGAGCATTACTGGGAGCAATATTAGGAGCAGTTCTCCAAACCCAACTGCCCAAATATCTGCAAGAGGTGTCAGGAACTAGGGGTCAGCCCTAGATAAAAGTGCATTTCTGTGAGCACCAGCTTAGACTGCACAATGAAGGAGCTTGGTAGACAGAAGCTAAACTCTGTCAAAGGTTTGAGGCAGTACCTCAATGGTCTTTATTGACAGTTCTTTTCTGTAGCCTGAGTGGTGGCTAGACTGAAAACCTTTGGCTGCTTCAGATGCTTCTCTTGCATGTGGAAGGGACATTTGAGACCAGCAGTTATCTTCCAGTCACGTTGCATCATGGCCCATCTAAGCACATCCTGGTATGCTGCCTACTGAATGAATCAAAACTATTTAGAGCTCTCTGTCAAAGATTTAATTATGTACTGTTCCTGGGTAAACTCATGGCACTGCAGTCACCGGCCTTTCTGTGCCACAAAACAGGCTTGAAGTCTTGGGAGGCGTTTGAGAGATTATTGGAGTTGGGTGCTCCTGACCATGGAAATTGCTGTTACTAGTCCTTGGCAGTGGCTGCAGGATATTTTATTGCAAGCAGGAATTGCCAGACAACCTGGCAGAGCTGTGTTTGCAGCTCCCCATGCAGATCAAGTGACTCTGCCCTACAAATGGCCTGTTTGCCCCAGTGAAGCCAGGAGGGTTGACGCACTTCTGGAAAGCTCTCCCTGCACAGAGGTTCTGTGTCCTATTGCTGCTTGCTGTTGGCTCCCACAGCCTTAGCCATTGCATCAGAAATCACGTGGCCTCTATGCAGGGGCTAAAGGCAACCACTCCTCCCCAACTCTGTCCTTTTCCACCTCCAGTGTGACTGCACACAGCAATACTCCTGCCAGAGCTCTGCTTCAGTGAGCTCCTCTTGAAGTTACCATGGCAAAGCCACATAGTCTCTCCATAAGGATATGTTGGGACCCTGAGGTCCCTGCCCATGGCCCAGGACACCATTTCAAACCCCTGGAGCCACCAGCCCATGCCTCAGTGATGGGTCCCACCAAGCCAGGCACACCTGTGGGCTCATGTCCCAGCCTGGCCTCAGCCAGTCCCTATGCAGGTGCCTGATACCCAGGGCTGGGACTGTCCAGGGCTGGGGCTGTCCTGGTGTCCTCCAGCTGTCAGGCTTAGGGCTGGGTGATGGGGACAGGTCCTTGCAGCCAAGTCCTACCCTGTAGAGCCAGAGAGCAGGGAAGGGCAAGTCTAAATGCTCTCTGGCTCTGCCGAAGATGGACTGTATATGCTGCTTGAGGGACTCTCTGAATGATTTGAGACCAGCTTTAGAAAACGTATAGGTCTTTCTGAAGCATGGTTATTTCCATCATGACTTTAATCTCTTCACATCTCCTCATCATGATGAAAAAGTTATTTAGAAAACCCTCAAGTACTTTTACCTTTATGCAACATTTCCCCCTACCCCACTGTTCTCACACTTAAAATGAGCAAAAACATTCTTGCTCAAGCTTTCCAGAAACAATTTCACCTTTGGGCAGAGAATAAACATATAACCTCTCAACTCAGAAAAAGAGAAGTTTCAGACTGTTCTGACTAACAGAGGAGGAAAGTTCATGGGACTAGAATGGAGACAGTGTTGTGCAACAGAAATGATAGTCTGCTTCTTTTCACAGCATAACTCTTAGTTGATTTTCATTTATTTTTCTAACAAATTGAAGTTTCCCTAAGGATACTGACAGTGATAACCAACAGACTTTTAAAAAGTCAGGACACCTAATTCCAAGAAAATACACAGGTATCACTCCTGCATCCTGCAACTCCTCAACTCCAGAATTTAAATATTACATTTAGGAGTAGAGTTTTAGACATTCAAGAAATGTTAAGCTAATATAGCAGTCTTTCTCAGACTTTTGGAGACTTATAAGCTGAGAGACATCTGATATATGTTCAAGAGCAACATTTTTGGATTCAGGCACCTAGATTTCTCAAACTATTTCTATTCTTTGTCATTGGGGCTGGAAATAAACCTATTTAATTTATTTAAAGAGGTTTTCTTTCATGCAGTAGGTATGTTCTGGAGACTGTAGTTCCATATATTGTAAATTTGCTACCTTTGCTTTTTCTTTATTGACTACTACAGAAACTGATTAGATCAGATGATGTAACTTGAAGATATCTGAGATGTTTGAAATGGCTATGGAAGCCTTCACCTTTAATGTTTTATGACATGCCAAAAAATTTGGAAAGTTTTCAGCTTGCACGTTGTTTACTGGTACCTTTCCACTTTGTAGCTTGGATCACTGAGACTGCATCTACATTAGATAGTTCTATTTGACACTAATCCATTATCCTAGCCTTGTCATCATGGTGCATCTGCACTATTTTTTTTTATCTACTGCACTCAACACAATTGATGGCAATCAGTGCACGACAAATAATCTTTCACAACAGGTAAACAGAAACCTGACAATATTCAACACTTATTCCTGTCCCATGCAATTTGTCTCTTAGCTATATTAATATACAATATTTATCAGTTATGTAGTGATATTTATTAGTATTGCCTATTTTTGTATGCCCAATCTAAAGAATGTTTTGCTATCAATGGGTATTGCAGATATTTCAATTCATTAAAGGCTTTTATCCTTTCTTCTTTAGTTGCAAGTCAGAATGCATTTCCATACTACATTTTCTCCAGCAGCAAAATTGATCTAGACAGTTCTCTTCCTTCCCTATGCCACTTTTTTCTGCTGCCACATCAATCTTCTGCTATGCTTTTTGTGCAAATGCAGCCATCTGTGGGGCAACCCTGTAAGACAGATCAGTAAAATCAGGGGTGCTAAAAATAAACTCTGCAGGAAAAAAAAATAAATCAGTGAGACAGTTGAGCTGGAAAACGTAGGAGAGCAGTGAATCCTCCAACAAAGGGTGTTCTTCAGAACAAGATGAAAGAAAGGTCAAGGACACAAATGTATGTGTCAAAAGGGGAAAGGCTGTGGATAAGTTTTTCCCCTAAAAATGATGGCCTGGAGACCAGATGATGACAGAGGCTGCAGGAAATATAAAATTACCTATACAAAAATAAAGTTTGGATTTGTCAATTTTATGTTGAAGATGATGGTTGAATACTCAGATAAAGATTTCTAAGGAAGACTCAGATGTGGGATTAGAGACATGGAGACATTTACCCATCATATTTGATACTCTTCCAACCTAAGTTTACACAAAAGACCACCAACACATTAAATTCTGGCCCAAGTCAGTGGATTTTACAGTATCATATGAAATAACAGTGTTTTATACGTAATATCAGTGTTTCATATGTAAATATTGAAACTTCACTGAGGCCAGCAATCCATACAAACATAGATTATGAGAAGAATACACAAAATTAAGATGAGGTTGTTCATGTCATACCCTTTCTCCATTCCTTACTACTTATAGAAAAAACACTTTCCTTCCTCAGCCCTGTCTGCTCACCTCTCTTCATGCTGATATGATTTTTGCCCTTCCCCATTTGACAGCATGTTGTGTGTGCTTATGTCTCCTTAGAACATACCAGACACTTTGTTTGGAGGGTGGTATTTTTGTATTCTGATATAATACTTTGTACTTTTCTGCCAGCAGCTGAATTAAATACCCAGAAAGTTTAAATGCTAGATGTTGTCAGGACAGTATTTTGGAAAGACAGGCTTGTATGCTTTCTTGAATCTTGTATGCCTCACTAAAAGCAGTATGCATGAGGCGTTTCCTCTGTTACAGAGTTTGAGCAGCCCCTACTTTTCCTTAATACCGCTTTGTCATTGTGTTCTACAACAATAACCAAGCAAGCAAGCAAACAAACATATCTTCTCTACATACTAAAACAAACTACTGTCAGTTTTGGTGTACAGCTTGTGCTGAAAAGATTCTCTTTCCTCCCCATGCTTTCTGTATTTTGTTAATTGACTATTTCGAATACTTCTGATGAAAAGCACCTACTTGGCTGCAGGCCCTCTGCTGCCAAGCTCTCAGGAGGGTGGCTGGCTGGAGGTTTGCTTTGTCCCTCATCAGCTTCAAGGAAAAACCATCTGACCATCACAGTGGCTGCTCAATCTCCCAGTGCAGAATTTTAAAACACCTGGGCTCCCGTTCCCTCCTGTTCTCCAGCATTAGCCAAGAGATTTCAGAACATTTGTACCAATTTGCTAAATCCCTCTGGACATTTAGAAAGTAACACATTACTGCATTGCTTTGCATTTCTTGTTGCTGGTTTCTGTTTTATTGGTAGCTGCATATCTGAGTTGGTAAATGTTTTGCTGTTCCTATTCCAGTAAAAATACCATTCTATTCTATATGCTAATCTTTTTGTTCCTCTGTTTATTTCTTTCCTTCACACACCTCCATTCTTGCCTTTCCTTTTTCTCCCTTAATTATATGAACTAGTTCTCTTTCTCTGTATCAAATCCCATACATAACAAAGTGGCCAAGACTTCACCCTGCAAGTGGTTTATGTAATATATTTCTGTATATCTTACCCAGCTAAATACAATGGCACCACTTACATGCCTTAAGTGCCATGTATGTTTGCCGTATCTCAGTCTAAACAACTCACCTACCTGCTGGCTTTACAAACCAAGCTGGCATGGTTTGTATGCAACATGCCAAAATTCCAGTATAATCTCATTGTTGTTACCCTTATTTTCCACTTCCCCTCCCTGTTTGTTGTAATTGCCTATTCTGTCATTTCAGATTAAGTATCTCACCATGGAATGACTCGTATTTACTTTTAATTTGATGTACTGGAAGTAGTCCTGTTGACTTAAATGGAACTATGCACATAAATAAAGGTAAGTGTACCTGCAAGCCTTTAACAGATGGTACATTGCAAATCCTGCAGGAAAAGCATGGCACATTTTATTCATTTTACTATCTTTGCACATGTTATATGCAGGTTGGGTGATTAATAACTTTTTTCCAGATTAAGTTTTCAGGTTTCATACCAGTTTAATGGAAGAACCACCAGTTGTAAGCACAGGATTAACTCCAGTTCCAGAGAATTCCGAGATGACATGAGATAGTATGAATGATTAACTAGGAAAAAATCATGGCTAGGCTTCGCGAACAAAGATTTAGGTCTAGGAAAAAATAAACAAATTAAAAAAGACAGTACTCGACTTAAATCCAATGCAGTATTAGTGTATGTAAATAATTCTTTAAACTAGTCAGAGGAGATTCGGAGTTGGGCCAGAACCGGAGGTCAGGGGCAGCGAGCAGGCTGTGGGAGAGGGCAGCAGCTACGATATCGTTGCAGACAGAGGGAATCCCGGGGAAGACGGCGTGAAGGTCGGTAGCAAAAGGAGACGGAAAACCCGAACCCAGGGCAGGTGAACCATACAGCTCGGCCGGAGGCAGCCCGGGGCAGACTGCAGCCAAATGCAGGGCAGGGCCACGCAGGAAGGAAAAGCTTCTGGGCAAATTCTGAGGCGGGTTCTGTTTCAAATGGCAAGGGGGCGAAAAGAAGAAAGGTCTGCATCTTACAGCACGGAAACAGGGCTTTGCCTTCTTGGTGAGTTAATCAGCGGTCAGCGGCACAACCCTACTGAAACGCCCCGATAGTTCGTTCCTCGCCTCGCGCTCTTCCATTCCCATGAGTGTGAAGCCCACGGAACTGTACGTATATACAACACTGCACTCCGTGCTGCTGCTGAAGCCGGCGGCGCTGCAGTGTCTCCCGCCACCGCGGCAGGGCCACCGCACCCGCCCCGCCGGCCCCGCGCACGGAGCCGGGCTCAGCACGGACCGGGCAGTGTGGAGGCGCCCCTGGCCCCGCGGCGGGTCCGCAGCGCTCCCGCCCGCCGGGGCCGCCCCGCCGGGGGCGGGCGAGGGGCGGCACCGCCGTGCGCGTTGAGCTCAGCGCGTCGCGGAAACCGCCGGCCCGGGCACCGCCTCCCTCACGGGCAGCCCCAGCCCCGGCCCCGGCCCTGGCCCCGCGCCGCCCCGCCCCGCCCCGCCCCGGCGGCGCCGCCCCCTCCGTTCCCACTCACACACTCTCCGATACAGGCACACACACACTAAGGCGCTTCCTGCGCGGCGCCGGGCTCCGGCGGGCGGAGCGGCGCCGCTTCCTCCCGCCGACTCGCAGGTACCGGGGGTGGGTGCGCGGAGGGGCGGGCGGCGCCGAGGGGCCCGGCGGTGGCGGCGTCCCCCAGCTCGGGCCTCCGCCGGCGGCCGCCGCCCTGAGCGTGGCGGCGGGTGAGGGGTGGAGCGGAGCCTCCGAGCCGGAGCCGCCTCTGGGCGGGGGCCCGAGCCCGGGTGGGAGAGGGCCCGGGAGCCGCGGCCCGGGGGTGTCCCGGCGGCCGGGGGGAAGTCGGCGGCGTCCCCCGCTGGTCCGCACATTGCTGGAGGGTGAAGTCATCGTGCCCATTGTCTCCCCCCGGGCGGAGCGAGCGGCCCGCGGCGGAGGAGGGGGGCACAGCCGGCCCCGGGGCTGGGGGAGCCGCTGAGCCGCGGGTGGGTCCCGCTCGGCCCAGGCGGGCTGTGCGGGGAGGAGCTGCCGCCCGGGTGGGCCGCGGGGCCGCTCGGCCGGCGCCGCGCTCCCGCCGCCCGGCAGCGGAGCGGGGCCCTGGGAACTCCGGCACTTGGACTCGCGGGGCACGAGGAGAGCTGGGCACGGCGAGAGCACTGCGAGCGCGTCCCGCGCCTGCAACGCACCCCGGGGGCAGCGTTCGCACCCGCCCCCTAGAGAGTTTCTGGGTGACCTCTCCGGAGTCTGTTGCCCACCCCGGATCCGGAGGGTCGGAAGAGTGGAGGAGTTTGGAGTGGCCAGGGACACTGCGTCTCGGCTGTGAAGTCGGTGGGGGACCAGCAGTGGTGATAGCCAGCACCCTTGCCGAGTGTTTTCCTTGCCCTGGTCCTTCTGCAAAGCTGGGAGTTTTCCACCTGGTAGTGTGCTATTCACAACACCTACTGCAGGCGCACCTTGGAAATATAGGGAAGATTTGGCAGCAGACTGAAAGCTGGCGTGCATATGTAATTGAGCTGCATGTGAGTCCTTCCCTTCCTCCTCTTGCTCCAGTGCTGTCTCTTGACAGAAAGAAATGGGGCTTTGCCGAAGGGTTGGTAGTGGAGTTATAGGCATATGCCAAAGGGAGAGTAATAGAACGCTGTTATTGCTGAGCAGAGAAATCAAAATTTGAAACCTTCACATCCTTGTAGTCGCTTATTGTATATGTGCCTGTGTTTCTCTGTTAGGAGCACAAGAAATCTTGTTTCTGTTAAAATACTGTAGTTTTATCATTTGGTGCTGATTAGTACTTTATCTCAATTGTCATGAAGAACAACATTTTTTTTAAAAAGCAGAGAGCCGTTTGGGAAACGGCTCTTCCAGGGTTTAATTGTGTAGACAAAATGAATCATAAGTTAATTTTTTTTAAATTAATTTTTTTCCTTCAGTGTTTGGGTTTTTTTATAGTTAGGCTTTTTTTGTCAGGCAAAGAACCATATTTCAGTATCTGATGAAGTGGTTTTTAATAAGTTAATTGAAAAAGAAAGTTTTCAGTGTAATATCCAGGTCAAACTGAAGTATAAATTCTGAATTGCCCAGCTAACAGAATTCACTTGCGTGCTTAGAAATGACAGCTGTGTAACATTACTTTACAGTTTCCAAAATCTTACCATTATTTAACTGTAAACATTTAAATACTTAAAGCTTTCATAAAGCTGACAAAGCACTTTTTTATTTTTGATTGCATGTGAACTAGGCCTGTTGGTCCAGAAAATGAAAGTTTCACTTTTGCATAATGACAATAATGCTCATCTTAAAAAAGAGTTTTGTAAAAGGCTTCCATATGTGTAACTCTTCTGTGTGCATATTTCTTGAAGTATGCCAGAGTTTCAGCTGTATTTTATACAATTCAGCGTTTGTAAAATGCTGAATTCTAGCTGTTATGTTTGTTGTCAGCTATTATTGAGTTTGTGGACATCAGGACATCATTTCTAAAGAAGGAGTTGAAATGTGTAAGTGTGGTTTTCTTCTCTCCACTTCCCCTTCAATCTGTCAGACAAATGACACATTCCTTATGCAGAGCAATCATCAGATTTTGATTAATTATGCTAGTTGAGGCTCACGAGGAAAGAAGATGCTTGACAGATGTGTTTGTTTACCTTTGCAGCATGTACAAATTCTGGTCTCTCCATTAGTAAATGAATCATTAAAGTTCCCTTAGCTGTGGGATCCCCAGTTAGCATTAATATATGCATTAGGAAAAGTTGTTTTATGTGAATATTATCAAGCTGTGAAAGAACACAAGCTCTTGAATTCTTTTGACTGTTGAGTAGAGTCTTTTGTGGTGGAAAATGTGTATGCTTTTTCCCCCCACTATTCTTAATTAACAGCATTTATCAACTGTTCCCCAAGAGAAGAACTTCAGACTGAGTTTATTCAGGTTTTTTCCTGTTTGCTTGTACCTCTTTGATCCTTTACTTAGTCTTACTGAAGTATTTCTTGCAGAGATCCAACACACACACACCACCTTCCTTCCTTTCTTCCAGGGTGACAAAGTAGGATGCCCAAGTCTTCTCACAGGACTTCTGAATCCTAGTTTGGAAGTGCTAAGAAAGATCTTTGAACTCAGAAGTACAACTATACTGTTCTGAACCACTGTTCTCTGATGGCCTTTGGCCAAGCTTGTAGTCTCCATTGCGGGGTCAGTTTACTCTGGCCCATGGTCAGACATCTACCTTAGCTTTGTGATTTGTTTTCTGAATTGTATGTAAACACCATGTACCGGCCTAGTAGAATAAATTTTAATACCTGACTAAAGTGAGTTGGTGGATATGTGTTTTAGGCTCTGCTCTGAGTGTGATTTCTGGTTTGTAGCTGAGTTGCAAATCAGTCTGATTCTTTCTTAGGGTCAGCAAAAGCTCTTTGGAGCATTAATAGAGGTATTAATTCTAACACTGTTTCATCCATAAAGTTGATTTCAGATTTTTCTCTTATGTTTATCTTAGCTCTGTTTCCATTGTGCCTTCTGTGTTAACTCATGGAAGATGTGTAGTTGACTGAATCAGTGTACCTAACACTGCTTGAAAATACTGGGAGTGGTGTTGGATCTTATTACTAAAAGCATGTGAATTGGATCTGAAAGTAGACTTCTACCAAGAAGGTAAAAAGTTACATCGAGTCTTAGAGAACTGATTGTTTTCATTAGTGTTGCAGTGCACAGTATTTTTTCCCTGTAGGAGAATATGGAAGAGGCCTTGTCAGTAAGTCTTAAAATGTTTGGGAGTTTTCTTAGTGTTCCTATTTTTCCCAAGAGGAGACTTTATTCCTGAGTCTCTGAAGTGGAAGTTTATCCCTGACTTAGTATAATTTTAGTTCATTTCAAGTAGTTTGTCTTCTAAATTCTCAATGAAATAATCTCTAAGGAAAAACATTTACCTTTTTGTGTTGTATATAGATTACATTTCAGATATTGTGTGTTCTACTTTAACTTAGAAAGAAATATAAGTCCAAATAAACCACTGTCAGTTTGAACTTAAGAGTAGAGTCTTCCCTCTTAATTATTCACTTGAAGGATTACTTCAGAAAATTCCTTCAGGCACTCTTTTAATTTATTTTATTTCTTAGTGCTTTGCGATAATAAACAGATATTTAGTCTATTGCCTATTGCTCTTATTTATGGATTGACAGATTTCTTCCAAACTTCTATAAAGTAATGTTCACCTCATTATCACAGATTTTCTAGTAAGTTTATTTTTTAGTCGATGAAAAGAGACTTTGTGGAAAAGCCTTTGCTCATTGTGAGTCATAAGGTGGCTTATTGTTTTCTTCAGTGATCTTGGTTGTTTCATATACATTTCTGGCAATTATCAGACACTGCATAACTGTTTTACTTTGGTTTTGATTGCTGGTCTTTTTTTCTGGCATGGGTTGCTTGGTTTTTTTATTTTTTTTCCCTTAGTACAAGTACTGACTCAAGGATCCAAACCAAAGCAATGGGTATCTAAAAAGAGCTGTAGACATTGTGTGGTACTAGGATACTACAGGGCTCTACTAGAAGTTTTCTTCCTGTTGTAAGCATGTCTTATACCAGCTTTAGAACAGTCTTTGAGTTTTCCGAAGTAGAATTCTTAGAAGGAAGAAAACCCCATAGCTGAGTTGTGAGATGTCATTTGTGATACCACCATTAGGTCAAGGCAAGTGAGGAAGGCTTTGACTGTTCTCCTTTACCTTCGTTAAAGTTGTAGCATACTCCTTAGAAGAATTAACCCTACCTTGGGATTTATTCATGGAATAAGAAAAAGTAGGTGTACTTTCATTTTAGGCTACTTTTTTGTAATGGAAAGATTACTGTAGACTTTTCTACTCTTAAACTGTGGGTTGAAGTCAGTCACCTGCTGGGCAACTGTCAGCATCCAGTAGCCAAGCACTGTAATTGCCATTTGCAAGATGAGAATACCCGTAGACTTTTTTTTTTTCTGAAGGGTGAATTTCCAAAGGTTCGTTTTGGATCTAGACTGATTGTACCAGACTGGAAAGCTGATATAAGAGTTGCTTTAATCTAAAGCAACTTAGTAAAATGACCTCATGAAACAAGCCTGAAGTTTCATATATACAGGTGTTTCCTCAGGCATTAAAACTTCCTCTCTTTAGAGTCCAGCATATCCCCTAATGATGTCTTCAGCAAGACATTTGAAGGGCATCTTGCAGAAATAAATGGTTGTACCAGTTCAGTTTGGTATAGTCACTTGTTTTTGCTTCCTAAGTAG